ACACACACACACACACACACACACACACACACACACACACACACACACACTTACACAACAGAATATCTAGGAGATCGGCTGGGGAGGCGGGAGGCAGGGTTTGGGGGTGCTGAGGGCGTGGCCAGCAAAGAGGTCAATAGCACCCACTTGTCTCCACCCTGGACAGCAGCACAGGGTGAACCTGGGAGCTGCTTCCTCTCCTCACAGTGGTCCCAGTGGCTGGCCGAGTGAAGAGCACAGGTTTGTTCACGCTGGGACTGAGGCCTATCCCTTGTCTTGGGCATTCTGTCCATCACATGATGTGGCAAGCTGCACCAGGCTTTTGTCATGTCCATGTCTGACTCCCCTCCAACTGGCCTCATGCTCCGGTTCCTGCTGCTTTGTGACTGCAGTTACCTTTTATTTCCAGACCGAGGAGCTGGTCTGAAAATGTCCTAGTAAATCTGATAAAGAAAAATATTTAAAGTGATGCCTGTGAATAATGCCCGTAAGTGTTCTAGGGTTTAAAACACATCCTCAGTTTATAAGAGGTGATAGCTAGGCTTGGAGACAACAGGATGGCCTGTGCATACCAGCATTCATTCATCCATTGAAAACTATTGATTGAGTGGACTGTGAATGGTTAGGGTGCTGTGAGAACAGTCAGGTACCAAATAGGTGTGGTTCCTGTGCTCAACCAGATGACAGGGCAGGGACTGGAGAGATGGCTCAGTGGTCAAGAGCTCTGCTGCTCCTGCCCAGGACCTCAGTTCCAGCATCCACATGGTGGCTCACAACTGCCTTTAACCCCAGTCCCTGGGGATCCTACGCCCTCTTCTGACCTCAGAAGGTACTGCATACATGCGGTGCAAATATACTCACACAGGTTCACATGCATACACATAAATAAGAAAAAAAAAATCTAGCTGGGCATGATGACACATGCCTTTAATTCTAGTACTCAGGAGGCAGAGGCAGGCAGATCCCTGTTTTCCAGGCCAGCTTGGTCTACAGAGCAAGTTCCAGAACAGTGGGAACTACACAGAGGAACCCTGTCTCAAAACGAAACTATAAATAAATAAATAAACAAACAAAACTTTAAATAATTTAAGACTATGGGATAGAGGTGGACAGTAAATTGGAAACAATACAAAGCAATGTAATAAGTTCAGATGGCTCAAGTGACAATAGACGAGGTGTATAACAACAGATGGCTTAAAAGCGGGTGTCCAAATGGATACTTCCACACAGAAGTTCACAACATCACTCTTTACAAGAGCACAAAGCTAGAAGTAACCCAATGCCCATCACCAGTGAACAACTAAAATGTGGAATGGCTGCTGCATACAACAAGATGTTACTCAGCCTGGTGAGGGAAGAGTGCTTTGGCCCCAGCTACCTGAGCTTTGAACACGTTATGTTGAGATCAGCCAATCAGTGTACAGACAAATAACAGGTGGGCCCGGGGACACATAGCTCTAACCCAAGCACTTGGGAGGCTAGGGCAGGAGAATGGTGAGTTCAGGGGCACCGTGGGCTACAAAGCGAGTTCCATGCCAGCCTGGGTTATGCAGCAGGACCTCCTCTCAAAATAAACAAAGACAAAACTGCATCATTCCACTTAAATGAAGTCTCTAAAATAACCAAGTCCGTAAAGACAGAAAACAGAATGGCAGCTGCTGCCAGGTTCGGGAAAGGGAGTAAGGAGGAGCTGCCTGGGGATCGATGGCGGCAAGCTGAGGTTCTGCAGGTTGGGGTACAGCATGGGGATACACCAGCACATTGAACTCCACTTTCAACAGCCACCGTGGCAAACTGTGTGCTATATGAGGCTATTTTTTTTTTACCATCTTTATATGAAAAGGAGAGAGCAAGAGAAAAGGGAGGGAGAGAAAGAGAGAGGAGAGAAGAGATTGCCAGCACAGACTTACACCCTCCAGTGCCCTGCGCATCCCCATGCAGGGGAATGAATACTCCTGATCTGGAGAGAGGGTTGTGTATGTGGAGAGATGGTGGAAGAGGAGAGAGAGAGAGAGAGGAGGAGAGGACCCAGACTTCCAGGGAGAGAAGTCTGGGCTATGTCCTGGACTCCCACGTAAGTGTGAATGAGTCTTCCTGTCTCTTGAGGTGGCTGTTGAGTGCCCTGAGAGGTACTCGTGGGAGCCCCACACCTGTACGTGGTATGCACGGGATGAAGGTGAAATCTTTGCTATTGTTATCTCTAGTGCTAACTAAACAACCTGTAGGGAGCCGCTATTCAAAGATGGCGCTGGCTTCCTGGTAGCCTAGCTGTAAACAACTCCATATTTGGCTATGGTGCACGAGTATGGTAATTGGCCTTATGTCCTCAGCCAATCCCGTGGCTCCCCGTGTTCTCATTCTGGCGGGACCCAATCACAGTACGGCACGTTTGCCTGATTCCCTTTATAAGCAGCGGCAGTTTAGCCCTCGGGGCCGCCCCTCACCTCCTGCTCTCCCTTAACCAAGAGGCGCTCCAATAAAGTGTGATCTGAGAAGAATCCTCGCGTGGTGGTCATTCTTCCTCGCTGGCCGAGGAGCGCGCCGCAACTGGTGCCGAAACCCGGGAAGGAAACTTCGGACACCAGGTGAGGGGTCGAAGAGGATTCAGAACTCAACACACGGAGCGGTGACGTCGGTAAGTTCTTCAGGAACAGTGACGTCGGTAGTAAGTTCGCCAGGAACGGCTACGACGTCGGTAAGTTCTCCAGGTATGCTGATTACTGGGATTAATCCGCAGCCCTTCGCTCAGACATGGTAAACGGGTATCGGTAATGCAGGCGTTACCGCGACACAACCATTGGAATAAGCAAATCAAGGCAGAAGTTAGAAGAGCCCGTGACTCCTACTCCTAAAGGAAGGTTGTAGGCTTGGTCTTGTCCCATGTAGGTTAAGTCCCTTCCCAACCCTGAAGTGACCTTCCGGTTACTAAACCTAAAAAACATATCTGTCACAAGTGATCATGCCTTCCTGGCTTCACCTTTACCTGTCCCCAGTGACACCATTTACACGGTTCTCTTTCTGCCCCCCAAGTACCAAGCTCTCAGCCCCCTCTGTTGGCTTTCCCCTGCCTGCCTGTCTTCTGGATGACCAGATGCAGTGCCCAGAAGTGGCGTCTTTTCTCTATTTCCACTCATTCTTGAGACCTCAGCCAGACTTCTGACATCCCTCCCACTCATGCATCCAGAACTATCCTGTCTTCTCCCTGGCCATTCCCTCAGTCTGGACTCAGTGTCTTCCTCCTACTTAATGCTGTCACAGAGATGTCCAACTCAGCATTCTAAGGGATGAACCTAACATATATAAAAAAATAAATAAGCCTTACCCAGCAACTGAGGTCCCCATTGCTTAAACAAAATCCCTGGTGCTATCTTTATCTTCTGTTCCTTTCACATCCCATACTCAACACACCAGCAAGTCCCGCCTTTTTTTTTTTCTGTTTTTCAAGACAGGGTTTCTCTGCGTAGCTTTGCGCCTTTCCTGGAGCTCACTTGGTAGCCCAGGCTGGCCTCGAACTCACAGAGATCCACCTGGCTCTGCCTCCCGAGTGCTGGGATTAAAGGAGTGCACCACCACCACCACCACCACCACCACCAGGCAACAAGTCCCGCCTTTAAGCCACACCCAGACTCTGTTCCTGGCATACTGTATCCTGGCAGCCAACTCTGTGCTATTACTGGTGCCCAATGAGTATTTCCCCTGCCCAATGATTTAACCCCACCTATAAACAGTTCATCCCCCAAATAACAACCAATGTGATCCTTTGAAAATGTAAGATCACATCTCTGACCCGACCTGAACCCACATGGCCTCTCCTTCCATTTAGGGTAACAGCAAAATTTGTATCCTGTCTACCACAGCTAAACTACACAGAGGACCAGAGGAGCCTGAAGGAGCAAGAGAGGAGGAGAAGCACCCTCTCTCCTTCCCCTAAGCCTGGACCCACGGGGTAGGCAGAGGAGCACAGAGGCCTCCCTTTCATTGCATCTTCCCGTTACTCAGAATGAGAACTGTAATTATGGAAATGAGAGTCTTCTTGGGGGTAATAAGCGAAGAGGATTTGTTGATCTGTAAGATGAATAACTAAAAAAAAAAAAAAATTATAGCTAACCTTGTACTCCCCTGAAAGGTTTTGCCCAACTGAGTAAGGGAAAAGTAGTCAAGCTAGCATTTTACAAAGATATAATGGTTCTTCTTCTTCCTCTTCTTTTTTTAAAGCTGTTTTTTAAAGTTCCCTTTTGCTCAGAACCAAAGGAATTCTGCCTTTCTGCATAGAGTTCTTCCTACGCACCGAGCCAGCCCAGCAACCGAGTCAGCAGGGAGATTTCTTCTCAGCACCACCACCCCCAACTCTCCTCTCTCTCTCTCTCTCTCTCTCTCTCTCTCTCTCTCTCTCTCTCTCTCTCTCGGTTTATGGTCTGGAGTGATGTAGTGGTGCGATTTTGTCACTTATGCCCATGCACACTCACAGTTGATGTATGATTTTGCTATAAATTGAAAGGGCCCCAGCAACCACTTACTACAAAAACAGCATTTTTTTATTTTTTATTTATTTATTTATTTTTAGTTCCAGGGATGCCATGAAAACACAGCATGCCCAGAGCTCCACATGGCAAAGGCTTATTTTTAATGTTTCATATCTTTGTCCTAAACACTGAGATGCAACCCTGGGCCACATATCAGGCTGAAGCACTTAAAATGGCCAGCCAGCCTTCTGCGACTCCTGGGCTGGGTAGCTGGCCATTTCCTTGGGAGTTTTCTTTTGTTCCCAGAATCCTCTCTGTTCCCTTTGGGTTCTTCATCTGTTTCCTCATTGTTATGGTGGTGCTGGTGGAGGCTGTGGTTATCTACTGACTTAGGCTGAGGTTTCTAATTGAGAGCTGAGAAGCTGTCTAGAGCCTCTGGAGCGGACTTGTTGGCTAGCCAATCTCACTTATGAGTTAAAAAGTGGTGAGCTGGGTTTGTTCTTGTTAGCATCCTGGAAAGGACTTCTCCAGGCTCCTGCCTGGACTCTATCCCCCAGCAGCCAGTGGGGACCTCACTACTTCATATGACACTCACTCAACATTCCTCTGAGAAACAGCTTTGTATTTTACAGCCCCTATCCAGCATGGTGCCTAGAGACTCCAATTCACCTTCTCCAAGGACAAGCATCAGGGTTTTATTGTGAAAGGGGAACATGTGCTTGAAGTCACTGGTAGGGTGAAGGAATGATGTTGGCATGGTATTGGCACTCATGGAGGTGATAGATGTGGTGGCAGTGACTGTGGTGACAGCAGCAACGATGGATTTGGTGACGGTGGTGGTGGTCCTCGGTGATGATGGCTGCAGTGGTGGTGGTCCTCGGTGCTGATGGCTGCAGGATTGGTGGTCCTCGGTGCTGATGGCTGCAGCGGTGGTGGCTGAGGTCCTGATGGCTGCGGTGGTGATTGTGACGGTGCTATGGGTGCTGCTGGTGCTGCTGGTGCTACTGGTGGTATCTCTTGTTCCTTCCGTCCTCCCTACTCTCCTCTACTCCTCATCCAGCTGCAGAACCCTCGGGTGCTCCTAAGTCCTGCCATGTTCTGGATGCTCTGGCTTTTCCCTTAAAGATTAGGTTAATGCTTCCTTACTATTTAGCTACCCTCTTCCCTTTTTACAGAAGTTACCCGACATCTCTATACTCCCACGTTCTTTGTCTGTGTAAACGTCTCCCCCTTTTTATCCCATGATCTTTTCTGTGGGGTTTGGGGAAAAGGAGGTTTTTAAATAGAAGTTCCCCACTGCCTTTGGAACAAGACTTTGTTTCTTACATTTTCTTTTCAGATTTTGTTTTTATTTTATTTTCTGTGTAAAGAGTAGATTCCATCTCCAAGCACAGCAGAGCACTTCATAATGAGGTGAGACCCTTGAGCACATGTGTGCCCTGGGCTCCTTTTCTCAGGATACAAAGGGCAGGGGCTCTTCAAGTTTTGAGGATTTTTTTAGAGTAGACATTTTTGAAAAAACAAAAACATGCGTAAGCAAAGTTTAAGAAAATTGAAATCAATTTTAAACATTTACATTTACCAAATTCCTGCTTTCAATACTGAAAACAAAACACAAAGCAGTATAATTGTGTGCTGTTCACAGATAATTACAGGATTTATTAAATATATTAATTCATAATACATAGGCAGAGTGGTACAGTAATGAGATGCAAGCCCGAAGCAGTGTGAACCTATGTGATGGATGTGCTCTTTGCATTTCATTTCAGCTCATTTAGATGCGGCATCAGCCTTCAGAGTCATGATTTCCATAGCGATGGTGGCCACGCACATGCTCCATTTATGCTCCTGTGCCTCACCTCAGCCAGCACACGCACTCTGTGATGCACCAGCTCCACAGACAAGAGCCCGGCTTCCCACAGGCAGCAAGAACTCAGTGCCTGGATGTGAGCAAGTCATTGCTGTATGCAAAGGGCCTGGTCTGCAGCAGCTTGCTCATAGCAGCTGCTTCCTGGAACCCAGGCAAGCTTTGGAACTGTGTGTCCTCTCTTGGCCCTGACAAGAAGACAGAAAGGGGATTAAATGACCAACATGGCTTATCTCCCTTAAAGATACGGAGGGCTGCTAGGAACCTCAGAAATGCTGGAAACCTCACAGGGTATCTCTCTTTGCAGCATACTTTTAACACTTAGAGAAATACAAAAGGGAGGAATTCGCCCATTCACTCAAGAGAAAAGTATCAAGTTTTGTTTTGCCACATTTTCTCCTTCTCAGTCACAGGTGCGCGCGCGCGCGCGCGCGCACACACACACACACACACACACACACACACACACAAACACACACACACACGGTGGGGGGAAAACAGAGAGACAGACAGACAGAGGAGAGAGAGACAGAGAGAGCTTGAAATAAAGCAATTCAATCCAACCAGACTTGGATTCAGCTCCCATCGCCCCACTTCCTCAAGTGCCCCACCCCTTAACAAGTGCATGAACTTAAATAGACTTGAACCTTTGACCAATCCTCTGTGCTCCAGTTTTGACATTTATGGGCAGAATAACAATAGTACCGATTGCATGTATTATTTCAGAATAAAATAATGCAAAATAATGCTGGTCACAACAGCAGCTGTCCTGTAGGCACTCAGTGAACAGCAGCTGAACTCCTGCCGTTGACTCTTGAATTTGGCAGGTCTTTATTAAGAGCCAGGCAGCAGGGAATAGGCAGAGCCAGATGTGGACATGTCCACTACTGAGTTCTGTGTGCTAAAGACTCTATCTCGTGGGACCAGCAGCAGAGGCCTGAATGGGCCTGGACCATGAAGACAGGGAGGGAGGAGCAGATAGATGGGATCTGGCTGATGGTGAGAACTTGCAGAAAGACGAGTTGGTACTCTCCGCCTCTTTAACTGAGCATCACAGTCCAAGCATCCCTGATGCTTGCAACTGCCTAATTTTCTCATCACCTCTAATGATGGCATGACATCACCCGGCTTCCAGGTGTTGCGTTCTCCTTCACCCTTCCCTCTCATTTGATTTCTCAGTTGTCAATTTGGAGCTATTACAGGCATCGCTACAATAAACACGCACCTGACAGTTCTTCCTCTTGAGAATTATTTCCGTATCACACCCTGGATCAAGGGCTGTGGGCACCGTCTGCAACTCCTGCAGCTCACAACCAAGTTGCTGTCAGTGGTTTCGGACACCAGATGTTATAACTTGATGTAGTTTGTCAGAAGAGGTGAACGCAGAAACTTCACTGTTGTTTAACATCAACTATTGTAATGTGGTTTGATGGGCAGAGCACCCAGTCACTAGGCGGGAGAGGGTGGGGAGGCTGGGGAGAAGGAAGCTTACCTCCTGAGAAACAGTCACGGGGTGGTCTGAAGCAGGCCTAGGCCTACAAACCGACACTCGCTGTGGCGATGATGTGAGTTTCTCGTCCACAGCTAGCTGGGCAGACAGTTAACAGAGTAATAGTCATCACTGACCATACAGATGCAGGGGAAATCGTTGCTGTTTCCAGCGCTGACTGGCTTTCGTTTGTTTGTTTGTTTGTTTGTTTGTTTGTGGGAGGATGGCAACTGTCAGGCAGAGATCCTTTACTTTGCCTCAAGCCCTGTGGAGGGCAACTGATGCCAACTACTTGTTGGTTTTCCATTTCAGAGCGGCCCCTGTTGGGCTTGTTGATTTGTTGTTGTTGTTTGGCTATAATCTATGGTACTAGCACATTTCTCATTGATGTGAGAAAATCCCTGAGACTGGATCATTTACAAAGAAGAAAAATGTTTGGCTCATGCTTCTGTGGTTACAGGTTTGGAGCCTGGCACCAGTACCTGCTTAACATCTGGGGAGCCCTCCTGATGCGACAACATTGTGAGTCAGACAGGTGTGCCACCCCAGGTGTGTCTTCCTGCACTGTGCCATCATGAGGTTCACCCCCAGGACCTCACCTAATCCGAGTCATGTCACACAGAGGACATCTCCAGACACCATCTGTGTGGGACATTGCATTCTCAACACAGGAGTTTGTGGGGGACACACAGTCAAACCACAGCACCTGTGAAGCTCACCTGGAGGATTCAACCTGGAGGACGTCCTGAGCTAGTGGAGGTGAGGGAGGGGGCTCTGCTCCTCCTGGGGGCCCCCACTCTTCACCTCATGTCTGTGGGCAGCGAGAGGACAAGACCAACCGGCCACACAGGATCTGGCTTTTCCAGCTCTGGGAGTGGCAACCCTGGAGAGGGGCAAGGCAGAAACCCCAGGGAGGGGCTGAGACCATACCATGTCCCTGGCAGGGCAGAAAGGGGAGCTGGTGCCCAGCTGCCCAAGACCATGGTGCAGGAACCATAGCCGAGCCTTTGCAGAAGGATCAGCCAGGCAAATGAGGGTGGTGGCGCACAGTGTGAGAGGCACGTGCAGTTCCCCGGAGGCCCAGTGTGGGACATCAAGTGTCTGAGAAAGGCTAGTGTGGGTAGATTGAAGAACTGTGGGTTTCAGTGATGGGTGGCCGGCCACACCGCACCAAAGCCGCGTGAGACCATCCACCCTTGAGCAGACCCATTCTGGGCACCAGGCTAGACCAGGCAGTCCACAACAGGAAGCATGTAATGAAACCATGACCTCAGCTTTCATCCACCTTGAACACCAGCTGCTACTGTGTGCTACCCACATCTGTTTACCATTACAACGAGGAGATAACTGAATCCGGGTACTTTATAAAGAAAAGAGGGTCATCCAGCTCACGGTTTAGAGGCTGGAAGACTGAGTGGCATGTCTCTGGCAGCAGCCTCCTTGGCCGTGTCATATCATTGTGACTACTATGAACCCCACCGGACAGACAGGAAAACGGCACGGGGTAGGGGTGGAGACAAGTTGCTCTCACAAGAACTATCAAAATACCACACAACTACCCTGCTCCCTTCTGACGGTCCCCTGGCACCTGACTCTTAATGTCTTCACACTGGGGACTGGGCTTCTAATGCAAGAACCCTTGGGGTACACTCCAGTCACACCCAAACCATAGCGATGTTTGCACCCCAGAAGCAAAAGCATTTGAAATCCCTGTGGAATTGGGAAGAAGGGAGGGAGCAGCAGAGACTGGAAAGAGATGACGTAGGAGGAAGTGAGGTGGTGGAAGGGTGTGTGCTGGGAAATGGTTCCTCTCCCTCCCCTCCCCCAGCCCCCACACAGTCAGTGATGAACTTGCTTTGTGGAAAACAAGGCTCCGATGGAGTCCTGAACGGCTGTGGAGTAGACTGGGGGAGTCCTGTAGAACCCACCAAGGGCTGTGCCACACAGCTGCTTTCTCCTGGGCATGCCCATCCCTCTGTGCGAGTGTCCTGAAGCAGGAATGGCGGGACTTCGGCAACCTACGGCCTCTATCCAGGTCTCCCTTTCCCCACTCTGGAGCTACAGTGTTGCTGGGCAGGCCATTGAACTTCACAGCCTCCTTCCTATGGTCGGGGCAGCATAGCAGAGCACTGAGTACCTAGGACCGTTCTGTAGACAAGGAGCTACCACGGCAGTGCCCTGTACGGGTATGGGCTAGCTAGTGACAACAAGAATGGAGGGGTGCTGGTGACTGTAATGTCCAGGGCTGGCTAGCTTCCTGCTGTTGTCACGGCTCCTGTTCCCTTAGCAACAGCAGCAGGCCCAGCCATGCTGGTGCACCCATGAGTTGGAGGTAATTTTTTTTTTTGAATTGAGGTAGTTGCCACTGACATTTCCTCCGGCGTCCCTTAAGGCAACAGTTCTCAACCTTCCTAATGCTGTGATCCTTTAATAAAGTCCCTCATGTTGTGGTAACCCCCAAGCATAAAATTGTTTTTGTTGCTACTTCATAAGTGTAATTTCGCCACTGTTATCATTCATAACATAAACATCCATGTTTTATGATGGTCTTAGGAGACTCCCCTGAAAGGGTCATTCACCCCCAAAGAGGTCTCGACCCACTGGTTCAGAACTGTTGCCTTAAGGTGATGTGATACAGCTTTGACCAGTGGGGCTTAAGAGAGAGTGTACCGTGAGGGTTTCTGGGGAAGTTTTTGTTTGCCCCGATTAAAAACAAACAAACAAACAAACACCTAGCTCTGCTCTGGTAACACCTCACCCCCGCCCCCCCCCAAAAAAAACAATAACAAAAACAAAAAAACTAAAGGATTCTTTATTTGCCATGAACCTTACGAATGCAGGCAAGTACTCTACCTCAGAGCTTCGCGCCCAGCCCAGCACTTCTTACTTTTGATTCTGAGACAGGGGTTCACTAAACTGCTCTGGCTGGTCTTGCCCTTTGTAGCCCTGGCTGACCTTGCTATTCTCCAGAGTAGCAACAGTTACAGACCTGTGCCACCGGGCAGCCCTGGCTGGTATCATATGACTCTGAGAGATAAACATGAGGGAAGAGGCCAAGGGAGTCTGAGTCACTGGCCTGGCATTTATGAGTCCCTGGACCTAGCCTACCAGCTGCCTGCTCTAGGCTCTCATTATAAAGGAGGAGAATAAGCTGCTGGGTTTATGCTTCAGTTACCTGCAGCCAAAGACATTCCTAACAGAGCCAACACTGAGCTGCTCAAGAGGCAAGAAGTCCAAGTAGACGTGCAGGCTCTGTGAGAGCAGGCCTTGCGAAATCCTGTCGTCCGTTTCTGTTCCCCCAAGCATCCTAATGTCTCCATCCCTAAGAGATGACTCTGGGAATTTCCCTGCTTTGCCTATCAGAGCTCAGCTGGTAACAAAAATAAAAAAGAGGCCATGGTCGTGTTCAAAAGCAGTGAAAATGGGACGTTCAGAGAAACTAACAATGAAGAAATAGCAATGGAGGAAAGTAGGGGAGCGTTGAACCACAATCGCTGCCACCCTGCAAAATCCCCTCACTCCCGTGGCAGTTCACTCCCACCGAGTTCCCGAGGATTCCAAGGACCCCCGCTTCCCGTCTTGCTGCATGGCTCCCTGAGGCCCAAGCTGACTCTTCCGTGGGCTTCCTGCAAGTGACAATCAATTCTTAGTTATCTTTTTAGCCCCAGTGCCCAGCTTGGGACTGGCATGGGTTAGAAGCTGAATCTGGAATGGGTAAGTGGATGCAGGACTTCCCCCGAAAGCAGGAGCGGAGCTGTGGGCTGTGAAGACAGCTGTCCACCTGCAGTAGAGCTGAGGATGAGTCGGGGCTGCGTGGGTGAGCAGTTGCCAACTGGGTTCAGAAATCATATGATGGCCTTGGGTGTTTTTGAGACAGTCTCGCAGCTTTGTGGCTGGTCCCACGTGGTCTCCTCTTCCAGTGTGGGGCCAGCTGCGCTGCCTTCACAGGACCTGCTGTCATCCTGGGGGCCGCTTCACATCCAGCATGAGGAATGGGAGCTGAGATATTCCTGCCTTTGGGTCTGGACACTAAGGCATTCTCCCCCTCCAGTAAGGCTTGCCACATTCACACTACAGTCCTCAACCCAGGGTTTAACTCAGTCAGTCTGGGACGGGGCCTGAGCACATTCGTTTCTAGTGGGCAATGACTGAGCAGGGGCTGCGCAGAACAGACTAGACTTGGCAGAAGGTAGTGAAAAGGAAAAAGAAAGAGTCTCAGAGCCTACTGGGGCTATGCCACAGGTGGAAACACAGGTCCAGAACTGCCCTGTATTCTCCAGCCGACCCCCGAAGATGACCATCATCTGAAGCCGACCCCTGAACACGGCCGGCATCTGAAGCCCACCCCTGAACACGGCCAGCATCTGAAGCCCACCCCTGAACACGGCCGGCATCTGAAGCTGACCCCTGAACACAGCCATCAAGCAGCTATCTAGCTTTGGCTTCAGAAAATGAGACCAAACTTCCCCCAAAACTGCCTTGATGAGGTTTCTGAACACCCAGTTCTTAGGGAAGTTTGGAGGAAAGATGGGAAAACGGGGTACCTACTCAGTTACCCCTGACCCCAAGCAGGCTCAGCTATCTAACACAAGATACCATGCAAATACACTCACTTCCTACATTTGCTGGAGCCAAATTGCCTTATTCTGTTTAAAAATATATATTATTATTACTTGGTTTTTTGAGACAGGGTCTCACCATGTAGCCCTGGCTAGCCTTGAACTCAGAGAGCCTCCTTCCTCTGC